TTGTACATCATAAGTGTCTATAGACGCAAGCAGTGGACCCTTTTTAACTAAATTAAAAATATTGTGGCAGTTAACTGGTTAATCTCCAAAATTTATAGGGAAATCAAACAACTTAAAAAAAAAAGGGAGATAAGCAATCCAATTTAAAAAATGGGCAATGACCTGGACACTTTTTGAAAGAGGACATACAGAAGGCCAAGAGAAGTATGAAAACATTCTCAAAATCACTAATATTTTATCCGTTCCAAATAACCTTTCCTGGATGATCAGAAAGAACATACAAAAAATGTATACTTAGTGAATGCTTAAAGTGCTGACCCTGCTATGCCTTGAAAATGTACTCTACCCATTGTGGATTTTTGAATAACAAACTCCCAATTTGTTTGGGGGATTTTTAAATAACAAACTCCCAATTGTTAAATAGTGTAGGGACTTTTAAATAATTCAATTGACCCTTCTCTTAGGAATTACCAAGTAGTCACATCAGGACTTCAATGTTTATGGGAATCCTTCCCTAACCGCCCTACCCCCAATCTTTGTATTTAAAAAAATTTCTCCCATTGTTAAAAAGAGTTTTTAAAAATCAGTCTTTCTGCCCTAGCCGGTTTGGCTCAGTGGATAGCATGTCACCCTGTGGACCAAAGGGTCCTGGGTTTGATTCTGGTCAAGGGCATGCACCTTGGTTACAGGCTCCTCTTCAGTCCTGGGAGCCTGGTCGGGGCTTGTGCAGGAGGCAACCAATCAATGTGTTTCTCTCTCATCAATGTTTCTCTCTTTCCTTCTTCCACTCTCCCTAAAAATCAATGGAAATAAATATCCTTGGGTGAAGATTAAGAATCAGTTTTTCCTTTCTGTTTTTAAATTACATTGAGAAACAGTTACATAATGCTCGTGACTTATGCCCTAGGTCTCTGCTTACCATCTGCCCTATATATTGACAAATTTTCTGAAATCTCTTTTCCTATGTAACTTGTCTATTGTAGAATGAAAAAGGAATCTCAGCTTCCAGTAGTGGTCTGATTATTCCGTTCCCCTTCCTTGGCCATTCTTCCATCCCATCCAGCCCTATCTTCTCGCCTTTGCTAATGTATTCATTTTCCTGGCCCCCTACATAGACAGACACACCAGGAACTGGCTGATGGGAATCCTACCTGCCTGGCAAGGCCATGTAGTTCTGCTCCATCTAGACCACAACAGGGTTTTACCTTCTGAGAAATATGGTCCATCAGCTCACAGCCACAAAACTTAGCACTTACCGTATTTTTCGGACCATAAGACACACTTTTTTCCCCCCAGAAGTGGGGGGGAAAAGTCCCTGCGTCTTATGGTCCAAATATAGCCTACACATATACTTTAAAAAAAAATGTTTTTTTACTTGCCCGGCTCTGTGTGGTCTCTGTGTGCTTGCCCAGCTCTAAAATGGTTCTAAATGCTGCTGTTTACTTTACAGGGTTGATTACATGTGTTTATGACTGTGATGTTGGGTTTTAATGCACATAAAATATTTTAGGACACTATTTGTTTCAGAATCTTTTTTTCTTCATTTCCCTTCTCTAAAAACTGGTGCATCTTATGGTCCGGTGCGTCTTATGGTCCGAAAAATACGGTAATTGGTTTAATACAAAACAAAACTATATGTAAAGTTTGTTTTTCAAACTTTGAATGAGCTCCCCCAGGCATCCTATCTGTCTAGACGTTTCTGTTTTCCTCACGGTAGCTAGAGCAACAAAAAACCTGTGAATCCCTTTGAAATATTTTAGCATTTTTTTATTTACCAAAATACACATAATATAAAGTTTATCATCTTGATCATTTTTAAGTGTAAAAGTCACTGGCATTAAGTACATCCACACTACTGTGCAGCCATCACTACCTGGCTCCAGAACTCTTTGGGACACTATTGTCACAGTCTACAGGAGGCAGACAGAAAATGTCCAGTTAGTTCCTAATGATAAAAACCTAGTTTTAATCCACTGAACTATATGCCTAAAAAGGTGTATATTACTGTGTATTAATTATACTTCAATATCACCAATTAAAAGCAAATAATGAGGGATGTAGTGGGAGTGGGCTGGGGCAGTTGGGACCCAGGCCACAATGGGTAGAGGCACAGCAGCAGAGATGGGGATTTTATCAGGAGACATAGGGACCCGTGAAGAGGCTGAAGAGAATAGTGGCATTTATCCACTCACTCGTGGCCAACATCTTTGAGCAGCTATGCTTTAGACACTGTGCTGGGCAGCCACTGGAATTGGTAAGACGTTTCACAAAGTTCATCCTGACTGCATTATAGGTGATTGAGGGACAAAGCTAGTGGTGTTTGTCATCATTCAAGTAAAAAGTACTAAATTGAGGCAGTAGCAAAAGCAGGAGAGAGCAAAAGCTGTATATATTTTTAGTTTTACCTATTAATAGGCCACCATGAAATCACTATTCCATCATTTTGTTCCTATTTTTAGTCACTCCAAGGTTACTTTAGTTTGTTATGTAGCACACCAGATAAGCATTATGGTGTACCAAGTGAGTAGACTGTATTATGTCATGGTCTCATACTTCTTCCATACAACCTTTACTTATAAGTTAAATCATATAATATCCTCATAATAACAGCTAAGACTATATAAGTGTGTGTGTTTACATGCACACATGTGCATCTTTTTAATTTGCCAAATTATTTTTAGACTGTTTTTTAACAATGCCTGATTTCATGTATATCAGAGGACACTGGAGAAAGGAACATACTGGCTATGGTGAAGGGTTTCTCCTTGTGTTACAAAAATACAATTTAAGAGAAATATGTAATATATTTAATTTATTCTCACTTAATTAAAAAACCCTTAGAACACAAAACTAATCATTGCAAATGAGCTAATCAAATAACAGCAATCTTTGACCTTTTAATTCAAAACACATTAAAATAGCATGCATAATGTACTTGCCTATTTTTGAAATTATATTTAAGTGCCCATTGATACCACGGAGGTCATTAGGAAATAATAGACATTGTCCAAGTCAATGCTCTGACTCCCGGCTCAGCCACTGATTTTGTTCTCTTGGTTTTCGCATTAGTATCTCTGAGGAATACTTACTAAAAATTGGGCAGAGAGTAATAAAGACTTTTTATTTATTTAATTTGAATTTTGTAAAGAATGATTTCAAAGGCATTAGCAACTGTTGCCTAGCTACAAATGAAAAATTGATTTAAGGAACTCACACAGCATTTTCAAGGCTTCATTCCAAATAGAACTTCTCAGACAGACTAAAATTGTACTCTTTTCATCTTTAGCCCACTTAAAGTTAAAAAAAGAAAAAAAGGCAAGATAGTAGGTGTAAATGAGCAAGAAGAGCCCCAGAGGATGCTCTGGAAGCTGAAGGGTCAGGAGCTTCATGTAGGATGTCTTGATAAAAAGTCTAGACTATCTGTAATTGGCTGATTGTGAAGAAAACCAGATTATTAAGAGAACTTGTGAAGCCAACAGCTACAAGAGCTTAAAATGCATGTGAAACTTGGGATGGTGCATGGGAACAGGGACTCTAATACTCTATGTCCCCAAGTGCCATTTAGGGTGACTCCTATCACAAATGCAAAAAAAAAAAAAAAAAAAAAAAAAAAAAAAAAAAAAAGCCACAGGAAGAGGGGACAGACATCTTTAAAGTGACAAAAAGGAATTGTAAAAATGTGACTAGGAAGAAGATAGAAACTATGAAATCCATTATACAACATCTGAAAGTTCTTACTTGGAATGGGCTGAATTGAGTATTATAGCACAAGACAAGCAGATAAGGCAAATAGGCTGCCCTTTGTATAAATTAGGAAAACACATGTCTTTTTTCAGGTTTTCCTACGTTTCAGCCCCATTTATCCCACCAACTGGGCAACCTCATGCATTGAACAACCTGTGCAATCAGGAAAATGACTTGTTAGTTGTTTACTTACAGAATGAGTGATGCAAATCTATATGTTTGATGTGAGTATTCAAATGAAAGAGTAGACAGTTTGGTAAAGAAGTTGTTGGTCACAAAAAAACCACTTGTTAAATTATCTGAACTGAGTATTTTAAGGAACCATATCAGAAAGAGTTGATCTATGCGTAGGTTCTTCTTTCTACCAAAAGTTGAGAAATCAAACACAAAATAACCCATAATAGAATGAGACATTTACACCATTCACAATCAACATTGCTTTCTATTTCTCTTAGGGAACTGCCTACTTCCTCTTTTCTAAACACCTTTGGAAATCCATTAATCAAGATGGCCTCAAAGCCACACCTCTGTAGCAGAGCGGTTCTTATAGAAAGAGGGAGGTGGCTGGTACTCCCACTGAGAGCAAAGTGCCTTTTTCACTTTTCCTAGGCCCACCCCTTTCCCCATCCAGTTCCTGCAGCAAGTACATTTAATTTACTTAAAACTGAATCTGCGTCATGAAATACAGTGTGAAAACTCCATGAGTTCACTGAGAGATTTTTAATTACCTTATTGGTTTACTCTTCACTCACCTCCACATCCACCCCATTTAAGTAGTAGTGCCCAAATACCCCAGAGCAATAAAATATGCTCAGGAAACTTGAGGATTCCATGAGAACTGCAGAAAGAAATCAATTTCTTTCATTCTAGTTAAGAAAAATTAACCAGGTTGCCTAGACAAGTCTCAGAAAGTTGTGAACACTGCTGTTCAGGTTGTGGTCACCCTGTGAGGAGTGACAGCAACATCTGCTCATACCAAGACAAGCCCTGGATGGAGAGAGCCTTCCTCCACCTGGCGGGGACTGGGGAGTGGCACGATGCTGCTGACTCCGGCTTTGGTTACTCAGCATGAGGACCTACATCTAGTAGGTGTCCCCAGTTTCAAGGAGGTCATGTGTGTCACAGGTTTCAATAGGTCACAGTAGCACCATTTCTTCAACCTCACATTAATAAATCCTTCCTTAAGTTATTTGAAATACTGAAGATGCCCTCTGGAAAAGGCCTTACCAGTCAAGGAAAAAGTCCATGCTGCTCACCTCAATAATGTAGAGGACCACGTTCTTGTAGAAGCAGTACAGTATGCACTTTGTGACCCGGTTGTAGCTCCAGGCACCATGAACCAACAGGAGCTTCTCTAAGTAGGAAAACTGCAAAAAGAAAATAAAAGTTCAGAGAAACCCATCATCCTATATAATAAAAGCCTAATATGCTAAGTGTCCAGTCGACCGGATAGCTGTTCAACCAATCAAAGCGTAATATGCTAATGATATGCTAAGGCCACTCAACCACTTGCTATGACATGTACTTACCACAAGGGGGCAGACAGTTGACTGGTCAACCAGTCGCTATGACGTGCACTGACCCGAGGGGGCAGATGCTCTGACCAGTAGGTTAGCTTGCTACTGGGGTCCAGCCAGATGAGCCAGATGGGACGGACACACTCTGGAGCCCTCCTGCTATTCCTCTCCAGCTGGCCAACCTCCTGTGTTTTTTCCCATCCCTGATTTTGCACCAGTGGGGTCCCTCAGCCTGGCCTGCACTCTCTTGCAATCCAGGACCCCTCAAGGGTTGTTGGAGAGCTGGTTTCAGCCTGATCCCACAGGGGGAGCATCACTCACAACTGGCAAGTGCAACAGCGGTGGTAGGAGCCTCTCCTGCTTCCAAGGCAGCACTAAGGATGTCCAACTGCTGGCTTAGGCCTGCTCCCCCAGAGAGTCCAGGCCTGGATGAGGGACACCACAACCCCCCACACCCCCGAAAGCATGAATTTCATGCACCAGGCCTCTTGTTTAGGAATAAAAGTCATTAAATGTCCTTTAGAAGAAATGACAGAGAAGGTAATAGCGAAAACCATTCATGTAAGAAAACTAAAGGCCAAGATTTCAGGCCCAGTGAGAAAAGCTAAAATATCTCAAACCTACATAATTATAATTTCCCCCAAATATGCAGCTGGACATATAATTATTATTCTTGTGAAATTCTATTTATTTTTAGAGGGTCTTAATTATTAAAAGGAGGTGAAAGGGGACACACATATATACCTGACTTGTTTGCTCTGTCAGCCTGCAGGTTAAAAACAGTTACAAACACACAGAGACTCACAGACACTCACATGGACATACAAGCACATGTACATACACAAACACACATAAACACACTGTAACATAGATACACAAACAGAGACACCCACACACTCTGTCTTCACTTTTACATTCATTTTGTTCTTCTTTTTTCCAACTAGTATAGAGCCCTGCTTGCTAGAGTACAGTACAGTCAGGAGAAACAGAAACCAGCAAGCAGCTATACACTAAGTTAAGAATAATGAAATGGCTCTCTCAGTTTGAAATATTCAGCAATATTCAAAGGTTTTAACAAAATACTTGGAGAGAAACCAAGATGGCGGCATAAGGTATACACTTGTACGTGCTGCCTCTCACAACTACACCAAAACTACAACTAAAAGACAAAACGACTATCACCCAGAACCACAGGAATGCTGATTGAGTAGAAGTTCTACAACTAGAAGGAAAGAAAAAAGCACATTGAGAATGGGTAGGATGTGCAGAGGTGCGGAAAAACAGAGGTATGGAGGTGCGTGAATTGGGCTGGCAACTGGGTGCACTGTGTTTTTTTTTTTTTTTTTTTTTTTGTGTGTGTGTGTGTGTGTGTGTGTGTGTGTTTTGTTTTGTTTTGTTTTTCAATTGGTAAGGAGATACAAGCTACTGACTGCTCTGAACTCCAGTTTCTGGCAAGAGTCTGGGGACCCAGACTCCTATGGGGAGAAGTTGGATTGTTTGGCATCAGGTCGGAAAGTGAGGGTAGCTTTCTTACAAAGGTGCTCACAGGGATCATTGTTTACTGTATTGGGGTGTGGGACGCAGGGACATGGAGACAGAGACATAGAGATAGCTGACTGGCAGCCTTCACCATTTGCTACACCCTGGTGATTCCCTGAAATCCCACTCCACCCAATTACAAAGCCACCCAAACTATGCACAGTGGCTTTTGCATATGAATGGCCTGCCCTTTCACAACTAAACCTAACAAACTGCAGCTGTGTTGGACAGCTACAAAACTTCCAAACCCCAAACAAAGAGGAGAAACCTGCAGATATCCCTGTAGCTTCTGCTGGGTGGCCTCAGGCAGTAGCTGACTTGCACCTCCTTGGAAATCCAGGAGCCAATGTACCTAGTGGTCAGTGTGAGATGATACCAGATTTCAACTCCTCACATCTATAAGTTACACACTCAAGAGGCAGACTCAGTGAGCACCAAAGCCCCATTGAAGCAAGTGCTGACTCATAAGGGTGTCTCTACCACAGCAGTTCTTCCATTATAGACACAGCAGGTCCTCACAGCAAATTGGCCTGGAGGTCAATTCCTCCCAGTGTACCAACAGCAATCAAGGCTTAACTACAAGAAGACTATGCACCCAGCCCACAAAGGAGTGCACCAAGAGTGTCCACCTCAGGTGATTGGGGAGGCTGAGCCACTGGGTCCTATAGATAGCCTACCACATAAAGCCACTCCATCAACAAAGGGAAGCAGCCAAATGTGGAGACAAAGAAACATCTCACAAATGAAAGAATTGGAGGAAAGCAAACTACTGGATATAGAGTTCAAAAACACAGTTACAAGGTTATTCAAGAATCTTCTAGAAACCTCTGAGAAACTTAGTGAGAACTTCAAGGATCTTAATGAGAATGCCAAAAAATGGAAAAGGACCAGTCAAAAATTAAGCTTACACTGTCTGAAATAAAGAATAATATACAGAAATTCACCAGTAGGATAGAGGACCCCAAGAATCAAACCAAAGATTTGAAATATGGGGAAGCAAAAAGCACCCAACCAGAAAACAACAAGAAAAAAGAATCCAAAAATATGAAGATAGTGTAAGGAGCCTATGGGACAACTTTAAGCATACCAACATCCGAATTATGTGGGTGTCAGAAGAGAGAGAGCAAAATATTGAAAGCCTATTAGAAGAAATAATGACAGAAAACTTTTCCTACCTGGTGAAAGAAATAGACTTACAAGTACAGGGAGTATGAGCGCAGAGAACCTCAAACAAGAGGAATCCAAAGAGGACCACACCAAGATAAATCACAATTAAAATGCCAAGGGCAAAAGACAAAGAGAAAATCTTGAAAGCAGCAAGAGAAAAAACAGTTAGTTACCTACAAGGGAGTACCCATATGACTGTCAGCTGATTTCTCAACAGAAACTATGCACGCCAGAAGGAAGTGGCAAGAAATATTCAAAATGATGAACAGTAAGAACCTATAACCAAGATTACTCTACCCAGCAAAGCTATCATTTAGAATTGAAGGTCAGATAAAGAGCTTCACAGACAAGAAAAAGCTAAAAGAGTTCATCACTGCCAAACCAGGATTATATAAAATGCTGAAGGGTATTCTTTAAGAAGAGGAGGAAGAAGAAAAAGGTAAAGATAAAAATTATGAACAACAGCCGAAACCGGTTTGGCTCAGTGGTGGAGCATCAGTCCTGGGTTCGATTCCGGTCAAGGGCATGTGCGCTGACTGTGGGCACATCCCCGGTGGGGGATATGCAGGAGGCGGCTGGTCAATGTTTCTCTCTCATCGACGTTTCTGGCTCTCTATCTCTCTCTCTTCCTCTCTGTGAAAAATCAATGAAATATATTTTAAAAAATTATGAACAACAAAGTGACAACAAATACATATCTTTCAACAAGTGAATCTAAAAATCAAGTGAATAAAAAATTTTATGAACAGAATAAACTGGCTAATATAATAGAATCAGGAGCACAGAAAGGGAGTGGACTGACAATTCTCAGGGGAAAGGGGGTGTGAGGAGTATGGGAAGAGACTGGGCAAAAATCTTACACCTATGGATGAGGACAGTGGCGGGGGGCGGGGGGGTGGCCTAAGGGCATGGGCAGGAACACTTCTAAGATATTAATCCCTTATCAGATGTATTGATATTATTGCCAAATATGTTCTCCCATGCAGTGGGCTCTTTTTTCACTTTGTTGATGGTTTCTTTTGCTGTGCAGAAGTTTTTTATTTTAATGTAGTAATTTAGTATTGCTGTTCCCTTGTTGACTTTGTATCTAATAGATCTATCCAGTGATGTCAGTGGTGTGTTGAAGTCTCTCACTATGAATGTATTGCTGTCAATCTCTTCTTTAAAATCATCTGGAAGGTTTTTTGTTTTTGTTTTTTTTAATATATTTAGATACTCTTGTATTGAGTACACATATGTTTACTAGAGTTATATCCTCTTGTTGTATCAATTCCTTTAGTATTATCAAGTGGCCTTCATTGTCTTTTGTTATTGCCTTCATTTTGAAGTCTGTTTTGTCATATATATATATATATATATATATATATATATATATACTCTATGCCTTTTAATTGGATCATTTAAGCCATTTACATTTAACATTATTATTGATAGGTACTTATTTGTTGCCATTCTTACTCTTTATGCCTGTGTTCTTATTTTTCTCTATTTCTTCTTACATCAGTTCCTTTAGCATTTCTTGAAGTGCTAATTCTGTGATAATAAATTCTTTTAGCTTTTTTTTTTTTTTTTCTGTGAAGCTCTTTATTTTACCTTCAATTGTGAATGATAACCTTGCTGGGTACAGTAGTCTTGGGTTTAGTCCTATGGTTTTCATGACTTTGTATAATTTATGCCACACCCTTCTGGCCTGAAGTATTTCTATTGAGAAATAAGTTAACCATCTAAAGGGCATTACGTTGTAGGCAATTTTCTGTCTCTCTTACAGCATTTAAGATTCTTTGTTTTTAATGTCGCCACTTTAATTATTATGTGCCTAGGTGTGGGTCTTTTGGGGTTCAACTAGACTGGAACTCTGTGTTTCCTGAATGTGAGTGACTTTTCCCTTCACCAGGTTAGGAAATTTTCTACCATTATTTCTTCAAACAGGTTTTCTATTCCTTGCTTGGGTTCTTCTCCTTCTGGGACCCCTCTGATGTGAATGTTGTTACATTTCATGTTGTCCCAAAGCTTCCTTAAACTTTCTTCCTGCTTTTTATTTTATTTTTTTCCATTTGCTGCTCTGAATTTTTTTTTTTTTTCTTTCTATCTACCTTGTCTTCTAATTCACTGATTTGGTCCTCAGTTTCTTCTATCATACTGTT